AAGGGTACCTCCATATATCAACCAAGTCGAAGCCCTGAGGGGGCAGAAGGACGATCTAGCCTTCATAGCCATCTAGTGGCTTAAGTGCAAGGTGTATAGGTAGATTCATCAATCATACCTTGCGACTAAGTCGCGCATATAGACCCCTACGTCTATATGCTTACAGAAAAGACATCCATGTCAGATTCTGTAGACTATCGCAACACCTGTAATTCTCAAAGTGGTTTAATGTTCCACTAACAGATGGTGATAAACCTAGAATCTCAAGACTAAGAGACTCTAGGGAAATTTCGTGAATCGATTGTCAGCTGATGCAAGACAGACTGTTTCGACTTGCCATAAGTCTCATCAGTTGCACTGGCCAGCTGACAATCGATTCACGAAGGGTACCTCCATATATCAACCAAGTCGAAGCCCTGAGGGGGCAGAAGGACGATCTAGCCTTCATAGCCATCTAGTGGCTTAAGTGCAAGGTGTATAGGTAGATTCATCAATCATACCTTGCGACTAAGTCGCGCATATAGACCCCTACGTCTATATGCTTACAGAAAAGACATCCATGTCAGATTCTGTAGACTATCGCAACACCTGTAATTCTCAAAGTGGTTTAATGTTCCACTAACAGATGGTGATAAACCTAGAATCTCAAGACTAAGAGACTCTAGGGAAATTTCGTGAATCGATTGTCAGCTGATGCAAGACAGACTGTTTCGACTTGCCATAAGTCTCATCAGTTTCAGTCGAAACAGTCTGTCTTGCATCAGCTGACAATCGATTCACGAAATTTCCCTAGAGTCTCTTAGTCTTGAGATTCTAGGTTTATCACCATCTGTTAGTGGAACATTAAACCACTTTGAGAATTACAGGTGTTGCGATAGTCTACAGAATCTGACATGGATGTCTTTTCTGTAAGCATATAGACGTAGGGGTCTATATGCGCGACTTAGTCGCAAGGTATGATTGATGAATCTACCTATACACCTTGCACTTAAGCCACTAGATGGCTATGAAGGCTAGATCGTCCTTCTGCCCCCTCAGGGCTTCGACTTGGTTGATATATGGAGGTACCCTTCGTGAATCGATTGTCAGCTGGCCAGTGCAACTGATGAGACTTATGGCAAGTCGAAACAGTCTGTCTTGCATCAGCTGACAATCGATTCACGAAATTTCCCTAGAGTCTCTTAGTCTTGAGATTCTAGGTTTATCACCATCTGTTAGTGGAACATTAAACCACTTTGAGAATTACAGGTGTTGCGATAGTCTACAGAATCTGACATGGATGTCTTTTCTGTAAGCATATAGACGTAGGGGTCTATATGCGCGACTTAGTCGCAAGGTATGATTGATGAATCTACCTATACACCTTGCACTTAAGCCACTAGATGGCTATGAAGGCTAGATCGTCCTTCTGCCCCCTCAGGGCTTCGACTTGGTTGATATATGGAGGTACCCTTCGTGAATCGATTGTCAGCTGGCCAGTGCAACTGATGAGACTTATGGCAAGTCGAAACAGTCTGTCTTGCATCAGCTGACAATCGATTCACGAAATTTCCCTAGAATCTCTTGGTCTTGAGATTCTAGGTTTATCACCATCTGTTAGTGGAACATTAAACCACTTTGAGAATTACAGGTGTTGCGATAGTCTACAGAATCTGACATGGATGTCTTTTCTGTAAGCATATAGACGTAGGGGTCTATATGCGCGACTTAGTCGCAAGGTATGATTGATGAATCTACCTATACACCTTGCACTTAAGCCACTAGATGGCTATGAAGGCTAGATCGTCCTTCTGCCCCCTCAGGGCTTCGACTTGGTTGATATATGGAGGTACCCTTCGTGAATCGATTGTCAGCTGGCCAGTGCAACTGATGAGACTTATGGCAAGTCGAAACAGTCTGTCTTGCATCAGCTGACAATCGATTCACGAAATTTCCCTAGAGTCTCTTAGTCTTGAGATTCTAGGTTTATCACCATCTGTTAGTGGAACATTAAACCACTTTGAGAATTACAGGTGTTGCGATAGTCTACAGAATCTGACATGGATGTCTTTTCTGTAAGCATATAGACGTAGGGGTCTATATGCGCGACTTAGTCGCAAGGTATGATTGATGAATCTACCTATACACCTTGCACTTAAGCCACTAGATGGCTATGAAGGCTAGATCGTCCTTCTGCCCCCTCAGGGCTTCGACTTGATTTTCATGGTATGTTTGGGTGCTGCACACCAGATATTATGGGAACAGTATTCCAGAACAGGTCGGATCTGTGCCTTATAGATCATAAGTAGCTGACTGGAAGTGAAATAGCTCCTGGCCAGAAACAGGAAACCAAGTTTTTGAGATGCACACTCTGCAATTTATCTCACGTGATTTTCCCAAGAAAGGTTATCGCTGATAGTAATACCAAGTGTAACAGCTTGAGTTCATCAAAACGTTCATATTGAGAATTGTCAATACATTTCATCATTGCTATCACGGTTACACCAACCTCATTATAAAGATGATTCAGTTATTATAATTATATTTGTTATATGTTTAATATTTGGAAACTATATTCTTGTACCTATACGTCGGTTTGATAAACGTAAGCAGGTTTTTTTGGGTTATGATAATATCGGTGCGATGCGCACCAAAAAGGATTTCCACCGGCAATCAATAAAGAAACTTGGTCATCGAAGGTCCTCAGGTTGTTTTAATGTTCCCGAAATGGATGTCTTCGCAGATATGGTTATTCCTGACATACTTATGTTTGGCACAGTGATTTGTTTGCATTGAAATCTACCAAGTTATTGGATCCCCATTCGAGAATTGTTGCCAAGTCCATATATGTGTTGCCAAACTTTCTCCCTCGTTCGTTTCTGATTTGCCTGGCTGGTATTGGAGCCCTGGAAAAGAAGGCCGTATGGAGGGTACTATCATCCGCGAAGCTATGTACTGGACATGAAGTTGCTTCCAACAAATCGTTGATATGGAGTAGGAATAGTGTTGGTACTAGAATTGATTCTTGCGGAACACCAGCATTAATGGTAAGAGAGTCAGATGAAACTCCGTCGACCACTACATGGAGAGACCTGTGTGAGAGAAAACTAGCTAGCAGAGAACATAGCTTGGGAGGCAAGCCATGAGATGGAAGCTTGGCGAGGAGCTCGTTGTGCCAGACTCGATCGATGCTTTGGAGATATCAAGTGCCACGGCTAAGGTTTTACCATATTTTTCGATAGATTGCTGCCATATATGTGAGACGTGAGTGAGCAGGTCGCCAGTTGATCTCTGATGACGAAAGCTATAGTGCCTATCGTTGATAATAGCTGAATGTTCCAGTTATCTTATGAGCTCGATGTTGATAGCTTTTTTCATGATCTTTGAAATAATAGATAGCAGTGCGATCGGTCTGTAGTTGCTAGGTAGGGTTTTTTTTTCAGGTACTGGTTGTACTCTTGCAAATTTCCAGTTCGACGAAAATATCCCCAATTTGGAAGCATAGTTGACAACTTGCAGAAAACAGGTGTTAGTTCGGGAGCACATTTCTTGGGAACAATCGGTGGGATTCCGTCGGAGCCACAAGCTTTGTTGGTGTTGAAACCCAATAAAATCTTCCTTATAGTACGTTGGCGAAAGGTGATCTCAGGCACATGACTGTCAATTGGCGTTACGCTTGGAGGTTGTTTTCCCGATGAATTCAGAGTGGAATTTCCAGCGAATAAATAAGCAGAAATGTTAGCTCTCTCCCGTGCAGTTGGAACTAGTGTTCCTTGGTCAGAAGAGGAAACGAGCTGGAAGTGAACTAGGCCTTATCGAGAGATGTCCTCCTTGCAGTGTTCGGTATGTAGGTTTGCATCTCCAACATGATGATTCCACAAATTGTCTCAGCACATCGTGTTGGATCTGCTGAGAAGAAACAAACTCTCTTCCATGGGAACGCTGAAAAAAAACATACGAAGACTTTCCCAGTCGGCCGAATTGTAATGCCACATGAGACGGGTAGGAATCGTGGTGCTGGATGGTACATGGAAAGAGCAGGTTGTGGAGATGAATGTTTGGTCAGAGTTCCCAAGTGGGGCACAAATTTCTATTCTATATGGATCAGATTTGCTGGTGAGAAAAAGATCTAGTGTATTGGCAGAATGGTTGTTCACAATGGATTTCGGGTTGGTAGTTCGACTAGTTGTTCTAGACCGTGAGTGATGGCGGAGGCCTCAGTTTGACGACCTGCATCATTTGTTTTGTCAGAGAATTCGAGCCAGGCTGCGTTGTGTACATTGGACACCCCCATGATTATGATTTCGGCTGATGGATGGTTCTCCTGAATGAAGTTTAGGTTGAGTGATAAGAACTCAAAGAGGTTTTTATATTCATTATCATAAGGCGATGGGTAAAGGCAGCAGATGAATTTGATCAGTTTGGTATCGAATAGCTTGAACCACATCACATCAAAGTTTTTCGGTTCCTAACTCTCTACACGCTGGCATGAAAGGTTAGCCTCAGCGTAGGGCAGAATACACTTTCGAACCTGAATCGAGAATGGAGTACGTAACCAGGACAGAGCATGTGGACCTTGTTGGTGGACGAGTTCACTTGAGTTTCTGTTAGTGCCCAAATATCTGGTTTTTCCGTTTGTAGATGATGGAGGACGTCATTGATGCTTTTGTTGAGTCCGCGGATGTTGCAGAAATTAATCTTCAGAGATGAGTCCCCTTGAGTACCTCTCGCCCGGAAATCCTGTTGGAGAGGTATTTCACTTCCGGAATGTTTCAATCTAGGAGACTTCATCATCTTCATTCATAGAGGAGAAATTGGGAAAAGGAGGAGGGGGAACCGAAAAGTATCGACCGAACACTGAAACATAGAGTGATCCATTTCACAGCACACAAAGTCGATATGGTGGTATTTCACCGGGTGATGAGACCATCTGCCTGGGCCGCCCCCATACGGCAATACGCGGAATTTCAAATTTCTATTTTCTATGCTCAGATAACCCTGTGAAATTCACTGAAACTCACATATGCGCAGTCTCGTGGGCAATGATGAAAGCACTAGTCAGCCCCTCGTCCCTGTTGAGAGCGCAACTCCTCTTGGGGTCGCAGGCCCCGCCCACGGGCGCGTACCCCGACGGTCCCCCGATGTCAGATCGGGTTAGCCAGACGGCCACGTCGTGCCTGGAGGCAGCTGCGCTAGCGTGCAGCTTCCTGTTCCATAGGTTGACGTTCTCCAGGGACTTTTTGGCGTTGCCTGGGCGGATCACGTGGTGCTTCTCGCGCTCGTAGAACAGGAGTTTGGTCACGACAAGCTTGAGGTTGGAGTCTAAGGAGGGGTCTTGGTAGATGGCGCTCACCTGAGATTCCCAATAATACTAAGAATAAGTGATCATATCTCCCCAATTTCCAGAAATAGGTTAGATAAACAAATACAAAGCTCAAAGTAATTTCTACAAATGTTCATAAAATTAACAATAATGGTAGATGACAGCAGAAAAACTACTTTTCTGGCTTATGCCACGCAGAACATTGAATCACATTCTACAAAAATCTATATATGGACGTATAAACGAATTCTGATGCAAGTGTTTTTTTTTCATGTGTGACAAATTGATATTCATTATACAAGACGTGGAAACAAATACAAAATTGAGAAAACCTGATCACGAATCTGTGATTGGAAGTCTATGAAAATTAGAAATTCCCATCGTTCAAGTTTGAACCCCTTGATTGGGTGGAAGCATCAGAATAGAATAGAATAGGAAGCATTTATTCCTGAAACATATTACATGTTGTAGAAATTGGTCACGACTTATTATCTCAGTCACAAACTATACAGGGTGTCTGTGAAAGGTTGGGACATGGCTCGGCTGTGGACTCCTGGGATAAAAACAAGCTGATTCAGGCCAACTTACCTATATCCAAAATCGTCGCGTTGAGTTGGTACAAGGCATTGAAGTTTATTTGGAAAAAAATAATTTTGCTCATAAAAAGAGTAGGCTGAGATCGATTTCCATAATTTTTGGCATGGCATGTTCTGTGACTGTAAGTCACGTTTTGAAATGGTTTTGATCATCATCAGTGACCTGCAAGTGTTTCAAACAACCATGTTGCCGTACAAATTTGGTGATAACTTTTCGGAGGTCGGACTGGCAACTTCCAGTTTTTTTTCAAGGAAGATATTCCCTTCAGAAATATTTTTTGTATCGTGTTAATTTTTGATAAGGTTCGAGGTTCATTTGCAAATAAATAATTTCTGATCTGAGGCATCTTATGCAAAAAAAAAATAATCTGGTTGGGACGTGGCTCGACTGTATACTCCTGGGATGAAAATAAGTTGATTTTAGCCAACTTACCTACCTACCAACCCAACGAGTTGGTACAAGGCGTTAAAGTGCTCACCTTAGGTCCTGAATAGTTATCGCTGAATTTGTAACGCGAGAGTTTTTGTAAAGCTCGCGAGGAGAAATTATTTATTGGCAAATGAACCTCGAGACTTATCAGAAATCAACAGGATACAGAGAATATTTCTGAAGGGAATATCTTTCTGGAAAAAAAAAACTGGAAGTTCCCAGTCTGACATTTGAAAAGTTATTACCAAATTTGTACGGCAACACGGTTGTTTGAAATACCTGCAGGTCACTGATGATGATCAATCACAACTCAAAACGTGACTTACAGTCACAAAACATGCCATGCCAAAAATTATGGGAATCGATCTCAGCCTACTCTTCCTATGAGCAAAATTATTTTTCTCCAAAAAAAAATTCAACGCCTTGTACCAACTCAACGAAACGATTTTGGATATAGGTAAGTGGGCCTAAATCAACTTGTTTTTATCCCAGGAGTCCATAGCCGAGCCATGTCCCAACCTTTTACAGACACCCTGTATACCATGCTCACCATGAGTATCTTTTTAACGGTGAGAGATACGAGGTCGGTTGAATGACACCAAATGTGGAGTTTGTTAAGGCCAACTATAATGTGAAAAAATATTTTGATTAAATCTATTCGTTTTGTTTTACTTGCAAAAAACAGATTTTGATCATTTTCATGTCTCCTCCGTAGATTCTTTATTTATGAAAATATTCAAATAGGAATTTCACATTCTCATGGCAGTTTTTCAAAGTGATTTCGAAAAAAATATAAAATTTATACCAACTCTTCTAGAATTTGAGATACCAGCACCAACTTTAGCTTTTCAAATGTAGGTCATAGCTCACTATGACCTAGTTACAAATAACTTTTTTTTCTCTTACAGATGATATGTTGCATTAATAGTTTCGTGTTGATAACAACGGAGTTATCGTCATTTATACAAAAACAAAAAATTATTTGGAAGCCGCCAATACTTACCAATTTTGAATGGAATCGGACCAAATCTTGTCTGCCATCTTGGAGCAGCCATTTTTTTAATTTCAACAAAAATTCCATAATGTATTGTCACCGAAATTATGAACATACAGTCATAGTATCAGCAACAAGGTTTATAGGGTGTCCCGAAATTACATAGAAATAATTCAACCACAGATTCTAGGAACAAAAATAGTGAAAAAAATGCATATAAACACCTTATATACCTACCCAAGATAATGGTTTTCTGTGAATATTTAAGAAACCATTCGTGTCGAGATAACAGAAGTTATCACATGAATATAACTTCTCATGCTCGATTTGGAAATGTTGACTATTTTTTGAAATTTCGATCAGGGGCTTGAGAAATAGGTGGGGCTAGAGCTATCATCATTCTAACCTGAAAATAATAGCACCCACTATTTTCGAGATGAATCGATTTAAAAAGTCGGCTGCGTAATAAAAATATAATATTCTTGAAATCATTCCTTTTATCGTCCCTTTCATATTTTGAGTCAAACATCACGAGTAGATTATGATGAAAAGGGTATTTCCCATCGAAATATTTGGTATCCTATCGAAAGAAAACTGTTTTTGTTACGCAGCAGACTTTTGAAATCGATTCATCTCGAAAATGGTGAGTGCTATTGAAACTGAACGAGAGTATCATTTCAAGTTGAAAATGATGATATTTTCATAATTCTTGGTCAAACTGCCAAAAATTGCATAGAAAATGACATTTTGGTGTAAAGAAATGTCCGTAGCCCCACTTATTTTTCACGCCACTGATCAAAATTCCGGAGAATACTCAACATTTCCAAATCGGCCATGAAAAGTTATATACATGTACCAAATTCCGTTATCCAAACACAGTGGGCTTTGGAAATATTTACAACAACATATTTACAAGGCCCGTCGATGAAATACCTATATCTACTGAAAAACTAGTAATTATTCGAATTCATAACTACTACTTGAAATTTCTCAGAAATGGCAGAGCATCAATGTTCCAAATATAAAAAAATATAAAGCATTTTCTATTTAAAAAAAAACATAACTTTGGGTTATATCTGAAAAACAACTCCTGATTCATATAATCCAACTATGCCACTAGATTCTACGTAAAAAATGTATGAGCGGCAGTTTCTACTTTTTCTATGAGTTGGAAGATAGCTGGGATACAAAGGGAGGTCTCAAATCGCCATGTATCTCGAAAAGTAAGCGTGCTATGACAATTTTGTTTGCGATATCGTGAGTTTCTCAGGAGAGTAGACAAAATTCCCGGAAACCGCGAATCTCTATCTTTGAGAATCAGTGAGAAATTCCGTAACGACATCGAAAATGGGTCAGCCTGTACAAGAAAAAACAGTTGAGGATGGAACCGGAACAGAACCTGTATACTCTGGGACCAATCAAATTGTCCACGTTGATTTTTCGACAAGTTGCGGTAACTTCCCATATAGCACTCGACGTCCTGGGGACATCTAGTTTAGGTCACATTTAGGTCTGAACATCCAAGACCTTTTCAAGACGTACTGAAAACGTCCATTTCTGGACGTAATGGGTACGTACGATTCCGATGTACTGGGTACGTCCAACTCTGGACGTTATCGACTTTTTGTTTACGGGATTGAATAAATTGTTTAATGATAATCGAAATCATTGCATATACGGGTGAGTCAAAAATGTGTACCGAGCTTTCTGGTGGTGATAGAACATTGAAAAATAAGTGTAGTTTAATGATTGAACTCATGGCCCAAAATGCATATTAAGGGAGATATATCCTTCCAAAGTTGATAAAATTAAAATAATTTTTCCGCATAACTTCTGAACGATGAAAGCCACCCGATTGAAATCTTGTGCATGAATGTATGTTGTCAAAATACATTTTTTCGTCACACTTCCACATGGAGCGAAGAAAATAACATGAAAAAGGTACTCTTATTCAAATACAAAAAATTGAGCCGTTCGTGAGATATTTGAGTTTTTGTAGTTACATGATATCAGCAGATTGATTTTATTCATCGCGAGATTCATCAGTAACAATATTTTAGCAGGCCATGATGAATAATTTTGTTCTCAATTTTGACGTTCATGTCATCAACATTCGAGTCAACATTGTTGTAGTTGATTTGTTCGTGTGGTTTTTCTGTGTCATTTATCACTGCGATTATCAACTGAGATTTTAAGAAATATGGCAGGTTATTCGTTCTCTGAACAAACTGATATGCTTCTAATGCTTGGCGAGTGCTTCGGAAATGCAAATGCTGCTGTGAGACGATATGCAGAGATGTTTCCCGCTCGACGCGTTCCAAATTCGAGAACATTTTGAGAATTGTACAAAGAATGCGTGAAACAGGATGTTTGAAAACCAATAATAGAAATGGTGGCCGACCCAGAAGTGCGAGAACTGTAGAAGTTGAAGAAGAATTATTAAATACTGTGGAACAGGATCCGGAAATAAGTACAAGGAAATGAGCAAGACGAATAGACACAACACAAGCGAATGTAACCAGGATTCTCAGAGAGCAACAGCTACCCCTTATCATTATTTGCAGGTACAAGAACTATTACCACGAGACAATGAAATAAGATTGAGATTTTGGGAAGAGTTGCTGGAACGAACTCGAAGATGTCCTGAGTTTTTAAACAAAATATTGTTCACAGACGAAGCAACTTTTACTAGAAACGGTGTTTTCAATTCGCGCAACACTCATTTCTGGGCTGACGAAAATCCACACGTTGTTAAAGTAACGCATTTTCAATATAATTTCAAAGTGAACGTCTGGGCTGCGACTTTAGGAGACAAATTCGTTGGATACTACATGTTCCCAGGGTCTCTGAATGGTGCAATGTACCTCAACTTCTTAGAAAATGAGTTAGGTACGATATTAGAAGACATTCCTCTCAACATACGTAGGGAAATCTGCTTTATGCATGATGGAGCACCACCTCATTATGTAAGAGTTGTACGTGAATGGCTTAATGATAATTTTCCTGATAG